GTCCCGAACATCAACTCAGTTATTTTGCTTACTGACGTCACGTCTGATTTGTGTTCGAAGCTCACATTTTCTATGCTGAGACTGGTATAAGCCGCCACTGAAGTTGTATATCTGCAGGCCAGACTACTTAGCTCGAGTTCTATCGTGTTATTATTCGCCTTTAGCTTGTCGTTCAGATAATTTTCGAGATTGTTGCATACCTGCTGGATGCAGTTCAAAAAGATTTTCAAGTTTCTGGTAGTAAATGCGAGACCTATGTGTTTCCTGCCTATCAACCATGTATCGTCGTAGCAGAAAAAAGGGTTCGCAGCGATCAGAAGATCCAGATGCGGATCGATTTTCCAAGTGTTCCTGGAAAAACTTGCGAAGTTGGTCTGCAGGACAGTCTTTACCAGTTCCGGCTCGCGAATCACCAACGCAGGTGTCGTCTGATGGTAGAAACCTACCATACTGCGATCAGGATAAGGGTCACAGATCCGTTGAACGAGATCACCCAGAGTTGTTCGCATGACAAGCAACGGCAATGTATGCCCGAATCCTGGAAGTGTGCCCTTCGCGCACGGAATGTTACGGTCACGCCAGTAGTTATGATTTTTGGTTAGATAAATATATGCCGCCACGATACATCCGAGGACAAAGGTGAATAATAAAATCGCCATGATGGCCGCGTCTTATAGCAAATTATATAGCACTTATATTCTTCGAACAGTCGACATGAACTGACTCCTTGAGAAAAATAAGTCTTTATATATATGGACCCCTTTTCTGTGTACCACAACATAAGCTAACAATGTTGCTTTTCTTATCAATTTGTTCTCTGAACCGTAAAACATTATTCGTAAATGCAGTTCGTAAATGCAGATATTTATTTTACGTCAAACAGATATTTATATTACGTTAAAATGAAATTTTCCTCGTCGACTGCGCGGATAGTCAAGTATTCACGAATTATCGACATGCACTCAATTGTTCGTTATTCTTCGATAAATCAAAGGTCATCCCCGAAATGTTTATATATATTCCATGCGGATGTACTGTTGCGAAAATTGATTAATTTACAAGATAATTAAAGATAGGTTCGACAGCAGTTACATATTTATAAATTTGGTTTTAGGCACCAAAAGTCTTACTATTTTACAAGTACCCGTGCAAAATTTAGGGTTATTATTAGGTGCTTGAATTAATTCTGACTGTTTTCGCAACAAAAACTCATGTTTATTGCAGAAGAACGTTACGTTTTATATTATTCAAAGCATTCTCCTTCGTAAGCTACAACCTTTTCCCACTTTCAGATAACATATAAATTCCGCAGTAGAAAAATTCAGGTTCTTTCGAGGCGATCCAGTCATTGAAACATTTATTGACATCTTCGAGAGAACTAAAGTGATGCTTAGAAATGCCATGCTGCATCGACCGAAACAAATGATAATCTAAAGGAAGAACGTCTGGTGAATAGGACTGGGGAGTAGGACATGCCATCCAAGTACCTCCAAGATTTCCTTCAATGGTGTTGCAACATATTGTCTAACATTGTCAATCGTAAAGATAATTTTGTCATGTCTTTTGCCGTATTGCGGTCGTTTTTTTTTTGACTGCTCGATACAAATTGAGTAATTGTCGTCGGTGGCGTTCAGTATTAATAGTTTGACTCGGTTGCAGCAGCTCATAATATACTACACCGATTTGATTCTACCAAATGCACAGCATGATCTTCTTTTCATGAATATTCTGCTTTGGCATTGATGTTGATGGTGCCCTGGGACGTACTCGTGATGTTTTGCGCATAGAATTGTCGTAACGAATCCATTTTCCATCGCCAGCCATAATTCGAAGCGAAATCGTCTATTGTTTTTGTCCTCGAAGCAGCATAATAAATATTGTTCCAATGGACATAAAAATGTTTTTATATTTGTAATATAGCGTTCAAACAACTTAAAAATAATTTAATGCTTGATACAACTTTTGCAATGATTGAATGAAAATTTGTGCGGTAATTCGAAAAATAGTAAAGAAGAATTTTTTATTTAGAAATAATCTACAATCAGCTTAATTTACAAGTATTGCACATGGTGGCTGTTGTACTTAGCGATAGGTTTAAAATTTAATGTTCAAGGTTCGTGCTGGTGAAGTTTGTTGCTAGATACAACAGCTATTTAACCGTACTAATATCAAAATGTCGTAATTTTCTACTAAACAATGTAAATGCAATAACGCGTGTGTTATGTAAATGTTATATTATTGAGTGGGAAATTCTAACATTGAAGTTATGATACAGTTAGTTCATATTTCCTGAAGCGAATATTCTTGTGACTTTAAACTAACATTACTTCTTACTTGCGATAATATGAAATTATGCAAATTAAATATTTCAGCTCAAGCTATTACATCATTACACTTTCTCTCTGACATTCGCAGGTTGTTTAGTTTTGCGTATATAAACAAGAGATGTGTTAATAATAGTAAGAATAAGGGCTAAAATTGAAATTACGAGATGTGTATTTACTGACACCAATAATATTTATATTTCAGAATGTTTTATCTCTGTTTTTAAATTTAATTTTATTTCCATTGACGCATTCATGATAAGCGTGTAAAGCTGCAGTGACAAAAATTAAAAATAAGAGTTTAAATACAATGAAACACTCGCATACACCCTGTCACGTTCATATGCGTAAGTACAATATGTGTTTAATATGTATATTATATGTGTGATATGTGTTGAACTTGCGCAAATAACTCTAATATGTATTATTTCAAGGTTACGGCTAGTAATTGTAAATATATATTTATTTACATACAAACTCGGCTATATATACTTAAATATGTCACGTTTTTCTGCAATAGGTGAAAGTAATTCAAAGTTCAGGTTGCGTTATAACACTGGCCATATATCTCAAATATTAAAATAATTTTCATAATTTTACATCATTTCGTAATTTTCGTCATTTAGAAAAATGTACAATTATCTAAACTTATCTGCGATATTTCACAATATCTTAATATTATTTATTCATTATTTTCTACAATATTCCCTAATACAAAAAATTAAAGAGGTTTAAGATGAACCCATAAACCACCAATAGGTCTTGGCAGAAAATTGCCTGTCATAAACTTGAGAGGCTCCTTCGGTGTCTTAGACGATAACTCCAGAGTGTAATTCTTCATGATCATGGCTAGATAAGCCTTCGCCTGCATTATAGCCATTCTTTTTGCCACACAGATTCTCGGACCCTCACCGAACGGCAAATAAGTGTACTTCTTCATCTCCGTCTTTCTATTCGAGGAGAAACGATCGGGATCAAAAACTTCCGGATTGGGCCAGTATTTCGGGTTTCTGTGCATTTCATAGACATTCACGAAGATCTCTGTTCCGGGATGTATGCGGCAGCTGAGCCCATCCGAACCCTTCAGTTCAAACTCTTCGGTGCATATTTTGCCAATGCAGGGCAGAATAGGATTGAGTCTTTGTGATTCATAGATCACTTGATTCATATACGTCATTTTCTTCAGCGCGAAGTAGGACAATTGGCCGTCGTACTTTGCGAGAACAGTCCTCACCTCCTCGCGGATTTTCTGCTGAACATGCGGATGACATGCAATATGATAAGCTGCGAAGCCTATTGTCGCACTCGACGTATCATGCACATTGAGATAGAAACTGAAAACATTTGCAGTTACCACATTGTTGTCAATTTTCTTGGTTTCTTTCAGATCCAACATTAGTTGCAAAAAGTCAAATTTACGCGTATTCTTCTCCTGTTGTCTAATGTGCGTTATGTCCTTTACGAAGCCATAAAAGAAGTCCTCAGTCTTTGCGGATACATATGATATTCCTAGTATTCTTTTGAAATAGTGAAAATAGAAACAAAAGGTCTGCCTTAAACGAGAGGCAAACTCCATCCCCAACATCGACTCGGTTATTTTGGTTACTGACATAACGCCAGATTCGTCTTTGAAGCTCAAATTTTCTACGCCGAAACTGGTATAAGCCGCCACTGAAGAAGTATATCTGCTGGCCAGACTATTAAGCTCGAGTTCTATCGTGTTATTATTCGCCTTTAGC